ACGGGCTGGGCTTTAGGAGAAACCCTTATTTGATTGTATGAGAGAGGGAAGATCTCGGGGAAAGGCTGAGTAGTATTTGAAAGGCATTGTGAAACTGCATAGCTCTGTTGTGAATGTGGGCAAGCCAACTACCTCTCTAAACTTCATTTTCTCATATATAAAATGGGAAGAATAATACTTGCATGGCTTACTTGACAGATATTTTTATGAGAGGAAACAACTGGTGAAACTCAAGGTGACTCTTGTTATTGTTCAGTCATTTCAACCATATTCGACTCTTCATGACCCTACTTGGTATTTCCTTGGCAAATATACTGGAGTGGTTTGCTATTTCCTTCTCCAGCTCATTTTATAGATGAGGAACTGAGGCAAACAGGGTTAAGTGACTCACCCAGGGTCACACAGCTAGTAAGTGTCTGAGGCTCAATTTGGACCCAGGAAGGTGGGTTTTCCTGACTCCAGTCCCAGTACTCCATCCACTGCACCACCTAGCTGCCCCCAAAGTGATTTAGAAATATGTTATTTATTTTTTCACTTATTTTCTGGACCTGTGATTTCATTAGCATCAGGAGCATCTGGTGAGGAAGTTTCTTCAATCCAATGCAGATCAATAACTATTCTTCAACGTATAGTCTTAGAAGTTTTCCTGGGGACATTGAAAAGTTAAGTTACTTGCCCAGACTCACAAAGAGTTGCATATAGAAATGAGACTTGAGGCCAGGTCTTCCCAAGCCTGGCCTTCTATCTACTCTGTCACTGTTTCTCTTTATTAATATTATTAATATTTTAAAATTTTAATAATATTTTATTTTACCCAATTACATGTAAATCTTTATCATTTTTTTTTATTATCATACAGAATTTGCATATAATTTGTCCTCAGTGATTTCTTCATATTATAGTAAAAGTCTGTGCACTTTAATATAACTAGGTGCTCCATTCCAGTAAACACAGAAGAGCATGGTACCCTAAGGGCAATTAAGAGGGGAAGGGAATGAAACCCAGGGCCTCATTCTAAGAGAACACTCCTGGGACCTTGAAATGATGGAACTCAGCTAATGAGCCTTCTCTAGGGAACCACTCTGGGGACCATATTGCATCAAGGCACAAGATTCTTGTTTAACATTTTCCCTTCCCCTCCTTACAACTAAGCCCCAATACACATGGATTTCAAAACATCTATTCTCTGAAATATTCTATCAAGGAATTTGATGCAGTTCCAGTGACTTTCTGCAGAGCCAAGGAACAAACTGTGAAGGACATCTGGCTTCCCATAAACCATAGGGTCATTTGTTTTCCATTTTCCTTTCCGTGAATCCCTCCTCCTTTTTTGGTTTATAGCAGGTTGACTAGTCCATGTTAATTCAAACTAACAGACCTAATAATAGATAGTAAAGTAGCAAAGGAAAGGAAACAAAGTGACAAGCATGAATGTCTGATGTTTCAAGAGGAAATGTATTTATGTTTTGTCATGATTTGTATTATTTCTGGCATTTTGATGTAGCTGAAAACGGGGGGAGAGGAACCTACTATTCAGAATACTGACATTCTTGACTGGTGGAAGGTCAATACGTTGGATGTTAAAGCATCTTGAGCCAATGTAGATTTATTGTCTTAGCTATTTATTGCAATACTTAACATCAGTAAAAGAAAAAAAAACTATTAATAATCCTCATGAAGAAAGTCATACAAAACTGAACAAATGAATTTCCAGGAGACCATGATGTGCCAAAGATGGAATGTGAATAATTGTTTTGCCAAAATAAATATAATTGATTTTTTAAGCTATCTAAAAAAATAATCAACCACAGAAAACAAATTATCCACCATGACAGGAGTTAGAGAGATAGTCCTGCTAAAATTGGAATATTCTATTTCCTTTTAGGGAGGAACACAGGGAAATGTGTTAAATCTTTAAAGTCATCAGCACATGAAGCCAAGGTAGCCCAAGATGCTTTTGTTTTTACCTCAGTCTGGTAGACGTCATACAAGAATCCTACCCCACTTGAATAAAACTGGCACCTTCCAGTGTTGAGAGGCCTCGGCTCCTGAGGGCAAATAAATGAATAAACATAATTGGAATAAAATTGCTTTTATATCTAGTCCAAGAATAGCCAGAGATAACATTAGCTCAGTCAGTCAACCAGTCAATGAGGCACCATTTCTCATCTTTAAAGAAAAAGGTGCCAAAACAGGGGCAAGACTAAGGAAGAGTACTGCTGTCCCTGTGCCCATTATACTCTGTCCAGAATCTAGCTTAACAGAGGATCACAGTGTTCCAGCACATTGTGCTAAGGGAAAAAAAAAACCAACATCTGTGTCTTCCATCAATCCAACATGATTTAGGAGCGGAGAAATGAATGGATCATATGCCCTCTTGAGATTCCTTCCTATGATTCTATTACACCAGCACCCTGCTATTTTATCTCCAGAAGACTGTGTACATAACTTTTCTTCATGAAAAAAAAAATTAAGAAAAAATAGCAATGATGGTAAGCAATAGATTGGGGCAGGATTTTCCCAGAGCACAGATTATAAACTTTGGGAAACTCCATGAATCCTTTCAAGACATAGGGGCAGCCTTCAGAATATTAGGGCTTTGTTACTTAAATAATGGTGTTGAAAGAACACTGAGAAGACCCAATTCATTATCTATAAAAGTAACACACAATGGCTGTGCTATCTGTGAGACAGAGGCATAGGAGCAATCTTTACCTCAATTCTATTCAATGAACATTTATTAGCTCCTATTGTATGCAGAGGCTAGAGTTTAGGTAACACACTGTCCCTGCCATCTTAAAGTTTACATACTGGGAGGGAAGGGGTGGACAAAACATTAGCTTATGACTATGACACACAAAACAAAGAGACACAAATTGGAGTTCTATGTGAAATCTGATATGCTTTTCCAGTCAATGGTCTAACTACACACTGATTTGGAATTGACTCACGTTAGTAACCAGTTGTTTCTCATCTACTAGGTTAAAGTTAATTTAATTTCCTCTGTGTATAACATTATTCAGTGCTTACCTTCTGACTTTCTTCTTGAAGAAATTCCTTATTGTATATGGGTATGAGATTTTTTTTACCCCACCCTTAGTCTTATTTTTATCAATTTTTTTGTTTTTACATCACTTTCATTTCCTAAAATTTCCCATTCCTTGTCATATATATCAAGCCATTGCTTATAACAAAAATTGAAAAACAAAAAAGGGGGAGGGAAGCAGTTCAGCAAAAACAACCAATGTATTCATGATGTCTGACAATATATGAGATATTTTATATTCTTGAACAGTCTCCCCCACCCCCTTCTCACTTCTGTAAAAAGGGAAAGAAAATACATTTTCTAAGCTTTTCTCTGGAGCCAACTCTGGTCGCAGTATATAGTATTTCTTTTTTCATTTACATTGCTTTAGTAATTTTGCATATTGTTTTCTTAGATCTTCTGGTTTCTATGAATCATACAAACTTCTGACCTCTTCTATTTCTCAATCTTGAGCCATGTTTTCCAACAAAATTTTCTTTGTTCCATGCCATCCCCTGCAATCAAGTCATTGAGTATTAAAAGTATAGATTGAGTATATATTTATACACAAAATATGTATTACATGCATATAATATATAGCAATATTTATCTGTCATTTGTGTGTGTGTGTGTATATATATATATATGTTAATAGCTATATTTTAGAAAGTTTATCAAGTTCTTCATAGAATTCTCTCCTTATCCTCTGCAATAGACATTAACATATAAGCTACAACAATCTGCATGGTGAGCTTTTTGCTTAGGCACAATAAAATCAGTTCAATCAGTTCAATCAGTTCAATGTAACTCATGAAATTTTTTTTTTTTGGTTATAACCAATAAATACAATTTTTCCAATGCTCTTTTCATCTTTCCAAGGAGAACCTGAGAGCCATCTTTCCATTTAGGTACAACATCCTTATGACTTCTGTTTTTCCATAGCATTGGAAAATCAGTATTGCTAGGATTCTCTTCCTCCAGCAGTAGATCAACTCATTGGTCGTTATTCAAAGAGTCCTGCAACAGGCCATACTTAAAGCTTTGTCACAATAGGAGAATTGTTGTTGTTCAGTTGTTTCAGTCATGTCCAACTTTTCATGACCCCATTTGGGGTTTTCTTGGCAAAGATACTGGAATGGTTGACATTTCCTTCTCCAGCTCATTTTACAGATGAGGAAACTAAGGCAAGCAAGGATAAGTGACTTATCCAGGGTCACATGAGTAGAATACCAACATTTAAATACCAACAGCTAAGTTGATGTTAAACACAGTCAAATAACTATGAGATTCTTAGTACCGTCTCTTTCCCATATATATCAGTATGCCACCATCACTGCTGAAGTGGAAGGAGGCTGCACAGGACTGAGGGCTATTTTGTATTTTGTTTTGTTTTCTATATTGTCATGACCAAAAAATTCATCACCAGGATCAAATGAGGTAATATTTGTAAATGCCCTTTACTAGGCATAGTAGACACTTAATAAATGGTTATTTCCTTCCTTTCCCTTGTTGAGTGTACTGTCAAAGATCTTCTCTGTACTGAGCCAGGCTGGTGTTTAGATAACACTCAATTTCTTGCAGAGACTTCCAAGCATGGTAGAATATGCCAAAGATTGTGGTCCACTGGCACGGTCTTTGAGAACCCAGAGGCCTCTCTAGTCATGAGGAAGCATTAGAGGAGTACTCTTGTGGAGGGTTACTCCATACTGCTACTGACTAGGATCTAAAGTAGAAAAGGGAAAAATCAACCAATCTCCCCTACCAGTCTCCATTCTTCTTTTTCTTTTCTCCTTTTCCTCTCCTACTCCTTCTCTCAAATACGGCGATGAGGATGGGACTGGAGCATCTGAAAAGACACATTGAATCCTGCCTAGAGACCCACTATGCAGACACACAGGAGCTTCTTCAATAACTTGCTTTTGGGTCCCTAAAGTTCCTTGTTTGGCACTGTCATTTTTTTATCTGTTTTTGCAAAAAAAAAATGGAATACTTCATGAATTTACTTGTCATTCTTGCTCAGAGGCCATAGCTTCTCTATTTCATTCTAATTTTAATATATATGCTGCCAAAGGGAGTAGTTTTTTTTATTGGTAAGCAAGGAAAACACTATTATCCATGCATATTCAACCAATGTCCATTGGAAATATTTGTTAATTAATTCTATTAATGGGCTTGAAATAAGCCACTCTAATTGAGGAATTATATAACCAGTAATAGATAAGCTTCTGAGGGCAAAAAACTCAGCCTATCTGCCCGTCCCTCTGTATCAGCAGCAGTGCCAAGCAGTGCCCATTGTGAGGACTACAGAAACATCTCATAAATAAAGGTTCAGACTTACTTCCCAGTCGTGGTAAGATGGTAGATGACTATAACTCACAAAAACACATAACAAATGTAGCAGAGAGATACACAATAGACTGCTTGAATGTCATTTTTGTTAATTCCTCTGGAATAGACTCAACCCAACAAGATTAGTTGAACTCTATTTTTTTGAACAAATCTTACTCATTAATTCTAGGGTGTAATTAACTCTAAGTGAGCAGTGTCTGCTCCTTATTGGTTGTCATATTAGATTAATGATCTAGACATGATATAAAACTTCCATTTCTTTATGAATCCTCTTCCTAATGCATAAGTATTGATGATGCAGTTTTGTGATTTATGTTTGCTTTTTACTGATCAATCATGATTACTATCCTGAAAATAAGACTTATTAGCTTGAATTAAGCCACTATCTTATTTGCTCTATTTCCTAGCTGAATCACATTAATTTAGTTTCAAATTAATGTGAATCTGGAATTTGTATTTCACTAGTTCTGACTTCTTTATACTCTGAAATCAGCAGTACTATTCTTTGTGCATTTCCATAGTTCATGACTCTGAGTTTCCAGTATTTCAGTAATGATTACTTACTATAATCAGTCGTCTATCTTCCATCGTGTAGAAACATCACAGTTTGAATTTTTCTAGGGAATCAAGGGCCAGGGTGGGGAATTGGCCTTTAGAGTGCCTACTATGTGCCAAGCATTCATTTGATCCTCACAACTACCTTTCAAGGATGCTATTGTTATCCCTATTTTACAATTGAGGAAACTGAAGCAGGCAGAGGTGAAGTGACTTGCCCAGGGTCACTCAACTAGTAAGTGCCTGAGGCCAGATTTCAACTCAGATCTTCCTGTCTCCAGGACTAACATTCTATCCACTGTACCATCTAGTTGTTCCTAGGTAGACAGGGATGGGATAACCTGAAAGCAACCACACAAATACTTCAGTTAGAACTATATATCTCATCAATTGCTACTCCTGCCAGAAGTAATCATCTTGAGACTCCATCAACTAGTGTTGAAGACTTCTCTAGTACAGCTAATATGATCACTGATATCTCTATGTACCTACACCTAGCCCCTTTTCATATCCAAATTTCTAGGGGAGGCTATTACACAATAGGAACTTTACTTGATTCCAATGGACCCTAATTTAGAAAAAAAAATGCAGACCTATGATTTTATCAGTGTAGGGAGCTCCCATGATGGAAAATCCCACCTTGAGGGCAAGGTCTGTCCTTGGTCCATAGTAGGCACTTAATGAATGCTTATTGACTGACTGAGGTATATCGGTAACTCATCTGTAACACAGTCATGGGACAGTGAGCATTTAAATGACTTGTTCACTGTCAAATAATTTGTATTAAAGTCAAAATTTGAACCTGGATCTTCCTGACTCCGTGGCTAGGCTTCTATCATTCTATCTGAAGAGATTTGTCCTATGTTACACCAGTTTGGAAAGGTTTTTTTAATTAGAAAATAGGTCATCTAGTGATAAATTGAGTAGGGGAGGATGGAAGGGCACTGTAACCCATAAAGAACATCTGCTAAGACATAGAAGGGCTGCTGTCTTCATCATTGGGGAGAATATCACTGGAATCATAGGTCCTTGAAGTACTGTGGAAGGAAGCCAAGTTGGTACCATGGGCACAACTCCATGTCTATTAGTAGATGCTAGGAAGGAGTCAAAAGACTGCCTTGGTGCTAAGGGACATTTAGTAACACTGGCATAGCCTTTAATTCAGGATGAGTTGGGAGAACATGATACTAAAATGGTCATGATAATCATCTCAAATCATTTATAAAATTCCTAATTGCACATGGCATTGTGCCATGCTTTCTGAGTACTGGCCTTGACTAGAGCTGCTGCATTCATTCTGGCTTCTTCTCTTTATATGTAAAGAGTTTATGGGAAATAAAGTTGAAAGAGGCCATAGAGATCTAACCCTTCATTTTACAGATAACAAAACTGAGGCCCAGAGATGTTAAGTGAGTTGTCATCATTCATACAAATGTAGAATGAGGGCTTGATTGGCCTTTGTCAAGATAAATTTACTGTTCTCTCCAGGACTTCACATAATAGATTTAGGATCCTTAAGAACCAAATTGCTTCTCTAATTCAGATCCTCTTGATCTGAAACTGTCCTGAAACAGACAATAGAACAAGGGGAAATAGTCATGGGTTGGTACCCATGGCAGAAAGGAATTAGCAACAGGCAACAAGACTGCTTAATTATGAATCCCTGAACCTACCCATCCATTCAAGTACTCTGATGACTGTTGGGTCATCAGAGTTTGGATTTTAGTTACTGATAGAATTCCTCTACCAAATGGGTGTGCAAACTCAAGAAGAAGCTAAGTTCTGGCCAAGGGGTTCCAGCCTTCACTATTTCTCAGTTGTAGTAGCAGCAGCAATAGTAATAATAATAGCTAGCATTTATACAGTAAGCTGTACAAAGCACTTTTCATATATTATCTCATTCAATTCTCACAACAATCTTTTAAGGTAGGTTCTATTATTATCCTAATTTAACAGATGAAGTAACTGAGACTAATAAAGCTTATGTGACTTGCCCAGAAACCCACAACAACTAAGCGTCTAAGGCAAGATTTGAATCTAGGTTTTCCAAACTCTAGGTATGGTACTCTATCCACTATGCCACTTAGCTGCATGGTAATAATGATGGAAATGGTAGTAGTATATTATAACTTCAATGTCTCAACACGGCATAGGGATGACCCTGGATTCTTATAGGCTATACTGGCAGAGTACAAACAAGGCCTGACAGCCTCCACCATGCTGGAAAGGCTCTTGAATATGACTCCCATGACAATTTACATATGCTTTCTGATAGTGAGTACTGAAGGTTTGACACTAGATGATAAGTTATTTAAATATGGCACCCGTGAAACAAAGAAAAATGCCTCCCAAAATGCCCCTTAGTCCTTTGCTATCTCCTTCAGATTCTGTGGTGGTGGTGGTCAGTGGGTGATGCATGTAAAAGAAGGGAAGACACATTCATTAAGAGCCTATTATGTGCCAGGCACTATGCTAAGCATTTTACAAATATTATCTCATTTAATCCTCAAAACAACCCTGGGAGGTAAGTGCTATAATTATACTAATTTGGAGTGAGGAAACTGAGGCAGACAGAGGTTAAGTGAATTACCAAAGGTCACACAGCTAGTAAGTTTCTGAGGTCAAATTTGAACTCAGGTGTGTCTGACTTCACACTCAGCTCTCTGTCCACTGTACCACCAAGTGGCCTGACAGAACAAAGGAAAAGAAGACAGAAGAGGGGCTAGGTATCACAAAGCTTTTAGACTCTGTACAAACATTAAATTAACTGTCAATACTTTAAATGTGAGATCCTTGTTCAATGATTGGAATCATTTCAACATTTATTCTTATTCTAAAGGAAAACAAGAAAACAAAATTAAGTGGGAATTAAATGGAAATTTGGCTCACAAATTCTCCTTAGAGAATCAAATAAAGCATTTGTCAGAAGTGATTTTATTGAATTTCAAAAGACAAGAAATAGCATTACATGGGATACTTGGTCACTTCATTCTGCAGAGTTCATGAGTTTACCACCACATAGATAACTGCATCTTAACAAAATCAGTTGCCAAAAAAAATTAAGAAGTAGAAAAATTCTACAAAATATTTGATAAGTCTTTCAAATGAGCAGATGTTTTAATATTTGGTGACTTCAGTGAATAGGGAAGAATGTTGAAAAATATGTTGATAGTATGGTTCAGGAGTAAGAAATGAAAGAAATAAAAGTTTGAAAACTACGCAGAACCCTCAAATCTACATATCATGAATATTTTCTGCAAAAAGAGTTAGTGCATTGTGGGTGGAACCGTGAATGGGTGCAACCAATTTGGAATGAAATTTGGAATTATACACAAAATGTTACTAAATAGTGTGTGCCCTTTGACCCAGCTATACCACTACTGTTAGTTTTTAACCAAGAGAAATCAAAAAGGAAACCATCTTTTACATACAAAAATATTTATAGCAGCTCTTTTTGTGGTGTCAAAAAAAAAACCACAGCTGGAATCCAAGGAGATATCCATCAATCAAGAAATGGCTGAACCAGTGGTTATACATGAATGTGATAGAATATTGTGTAGGGTAAAAAATGAGGAAATAGATGACTTCAAAAAGATTTAGAAAGATGCAGAATGGAATAAGCAGAAACAGAAAAATTATATATACTACAACATCAACATTATAACAATAAACAGTTCTGAAAACTGTAATTAATGAAGAATGAAATGAGTAGAACCAGCAGAACAATTTATATGATAACAATAACACTGTAAAAAACAACTTTGAAATCTCCGAGAACTATGATCAATGCAATGACCATTCATGATTCCACAGGACTAATGATGCAGTACATGATACTATGCAGTACAGAGAAATGATAGATTGAGAGTAAGGAATGAGACATATTTTTTGTGTACAGCAATTGATGGAATTTATTTTGCTTGACTTGATATTTATTGTAAGAAATTTGTTTTTCTTCTCCTATTTTAAGGGGATGAGAGTGGTAGGGAAAGAAAACACATTTCTTTTCTGTTTTTTTTTTTTAATAGAAAGGTAGAGGGATGTTATAGATGTGAAATATATGCACTTTCAAATGAGGTCACTGTGTTATTAGTTATACCCTGTTAAAAGAGACCTTTCATGAAGTAGGAATAATCTATAAGGGTTTGTAATACACATCAATAAAACTTAATAA